ACAAAATTTGTTAATCGTTAGACAAATCTCTAACAAGAGTGTATTGTTATATTTTTAAAAATATTAATTTTAAATTCAAAACTAAAAAAGTAAAAAGTAAATTTTTCTAAAATAATCCCACCTTTCATTTATTTGCAAAAAACAGGCATTTTCAAAAACTTCCGTTAAGTGGCCGTTAGTTTTTTAACGGTGACCCAAAACTCGCACACATGCGAAAAGGTGAGATTATTTCCGGTGATAGTGAAAAGTGAGATTATTTTTGAAAGAGCGCGAAAAGGTGGGATTATTTAAGATAATTTTTCCTAAAAAAAATCATTTACCTTGTTTTTATCATTAGGCTCAGAGCCATATGCTTAATTAAAGATAATGCCACCTTAGTTCATTTACATTTAATAATTTAAGATTTCAATTATTAAAAAACTAACAATAACTTCATGATTGGATTATGGGTTGTAATTGAATATACAGATTACATAATATGAAAAACCCCTTTCCCAAAATTGCACCCATAATTTTTGGGGACCCTATGCAACTAAACAAGTTGGGAGAGTCGAGGTCCACCTTTGATTAGGCCTATGAGGAAAGGTCCAATGAATGGTAAGTGATGATATTGGTATGATGCATAACACTTTGCAGGGTCTGTTTACACTGGGGTAGTTTTCTACAGAAATCTTTGTGGGGTATCAGTCATCAGAAGGTTCCTTTTTTTTATTTCTTTAGTATAATTCCATACACAATAACAGAAGACATTAATCATATCACTTTAAGGGACATTGCTCTGTGTCACTCAGTGATAAAGCTTATTTTTCATTGCACGTGTAGTGGGGAGAGCATGGAGAATGCCCTTCGGGCGTGTTGCAAAGGGATAAAAATTGGGAAAATTTTGATACTTGGAGAGGGTAAATGTGGCCGGCAGGTCTGTACCATTGAAAAATATTCAAAACTCTAACATTATTAATTACAAACAAGACTTTCAAACAAATCTTGAGTGTATTCCCATTGGCATGTATGTATCGATGTTTGGTGAACATAGTTGATTTATGAGAAGCTACCATTAGATATTGCGAGCCGTCATGTCTTCTTGCTTGATCCTGTTCTCGCTTCAGGTGATTCCATATTTTAAATTCATTTTTTCATCCTAAAAGTTCAACGTGTCACAAACTTGAAATATAGATTACTTTGAATCAAAAGTAAGTTACACATATTTTGCTAGCACATTCATCTTTTTTGTTGACTTAAAAATCTTAACATTACTTTATTGCTTTACCCTCAGAAAGGAGAGAGATATTAATGCGATATTGTCATTCTATCTTTAAATAAGATTAGTGCATTTTTTATTCATCACAATGCACTTTTAAGTTTGACATATTGCTCTTTTCGTAGTTGCGATTTGATTTTTTCAAGTTTGGTTTTAATTTTCATCTATAGATTTATAATCTTTGTAAATCTTGAATCAGACGTAACATGTACATTCTCATTTCTCTCATAAAATATAATTCACATATAATGACATATTCTTATACAATGACATTCTATGTATCAGGAAATTCTGCAATAAAAGCTATATCTGTGCTTATTAGCAAAGGAGTTGAAGAGTCCAACATCATTTTCTTAAATCTAATATCTGTGAGTAAATCCTTTTATTAACAAAAGTATAAACCGAGAGTTGGAAAGACCATTTTTCGAATGGAGGGAGTAATTTGATTGTTTGAACAATAACTCTGAGAACATATAAAGAGGGAGTAAATTTTGTTAATTGCGGCGAGCAGGGTTAATACTTGTTACGTACATTGCAGGCACCTCAAGGATTGCGAGAAGTATGTGAAAGATTTCCGAGGGTGAAAATAGTGACATTAGAGATCGACAGGTCACTGAACAAGGATTTACATGTGATTCCTGGCATGGGTGATTTTGGGGATCGTTACTTTGGCACCGTTAACGCAACTGTCACTAATGACAATCCTAAAAGTTAGACTCTCTGGCAAGTCTCCGACCTCTCTGGAGATCCCTTTTTTGTACTTCGGCCCTTAAATAAATAAATGTCTTAGTTCATTTTTCATGGAAATTAAAGATCAATTATAATCAAATTGTATTACATAGTGAAAACTTAATTATTCACCATCATAATTAAACTTAATTATGAATACAGTAATATTCATACATGACGCCCTGATGTTTAATGATGCTAAACACGTTGCACGCACGTTGATAATGATGGTACATATAATTTGTTCATAACACTTGAGCAAAAGTCTAAGAGCATCTCCAATCACGTTTGCTAAACATGGCTTACTAAAGTTATTTATTAACATGTGAATAGTGGTATAGCAAGTCATTTTACATGATCATCTCCAACCTTTGCTTGCTATAATCTAGCAAAAATGTATTGATTTCACTATTAGAGTACACTATTTATTATAATTTTAATATTTTATTATAAAAATTAATTAATATTCTACAAGTATGCTATTTAAACTTAAAATAAAATAAATTTTATATTTTTTTGGTAAAAAATAAAATTATTTTTTTTGTAAAAAACATAAAATAATATTTATTAATTTTTCTTGCGTTGTGGTACTGAAAGTGAAGGAACAAATGCGTCATGGCACATGAAAAATTTAACCCAACCAACATTTTTCTTCTTCTTCTTGGCTTGCTATATTTTATCAAGTTTGTTATAAGTAGCAAGCCATTTTCATTTTTAAGCAAGCTTGTCAAACATTAGCAAGCCCCTTGAAGTATGAAATTTTACTTAGTTTGTCAAATTATAACATATAGCAAGTCATTTTAACATGGTTAGATATGCTCTAACACCTTGAATTTAATACACATTGACCAGATAAAACACTACCATCCGTTCATAGGCACATCAAGCAATAAGCAAAACTCTTGCATTGCTTTCTCATGTCTTACTTTTGCTTGCTTAACATCACACGCAAAATCAGCATTTTTTAGGGTGGGGGCAGGGGGTTGGGTTGGGGACCTGGGTTTAGGGAGGAGATTAGTGGGGTAGAAACAATCAATTTTTCAAACGGGGAAGCGTAGGTACCCAAAACAGAGTGTGGTAGAATTATTGTAATATTTTTTTGTACTCCCTCCATCCCCAATTTGATTACAAATTGCAGGTTACGGAGTAAAATTTCCTACTTTTTGAAATCATTTTATTTACAAATTGGTATATCAATAAGATATAAAAATTACATATTAAAAAACTACGTCAAAATTTCTACAGAACAAGAGGTGACAAGAATATTTTATTTTATCAAATACTTAATAAATTACGTAAACAAACAAAAGTTATCGAGAGGAGAGAAAAAAAATTGTAATAGGGAGTATAACGCTCCTATCCTATCTCTCTCCATATATATATATATATATATATATATATATATATATATATATATATATATATATATATATATATAGGAATAGGGATTGGGATTGACTCCAGTCAGATGACACCTTACGGTAACATGACATGCTAGGGTCAGATGATGCAAAGCTGACCACTGGCCTCTGAAGCTCACCAAAGACAAGTACAAAGTTCACCAAACTGTAAGGCAAAGCTCACCTTATTTTTTCAACACTTTGAATTTTTTTTGAAAAAAATAAAATCAAAGGAAGGGGTGTTGGCTAGATTTTAACCGTTGACCGCCGCCTGCCGCCGCCGCTACTCAGCCACCATGCCGTCGCCGGTCGCTGGCCCTTCTCCGCTGCTGACCGGTGGTTTACCGGTGTTGCTATTTTATTTTTAATTAATTTTTAATTTTCAAAATTTAAAAAAAATGTGAGTTTTTGTGTTCAAAGTGGTGAGCTTTGCTTTATTTCCAGGTGAGCTTTGCATTGTCCATTGGTGAGCTTTGTAGTGTAGTGTGGTGAGCTTGGCTTATCTCACCGTAAGGAGTCATCTCACTGGAGTCAATCCCATATATATATATATATATATATATATATATATATATATATATATATATAATTTTATTATAAGAATCTTTATATTTATTTATTGAACTCTAATGTCTATTTACTCATCACGCTTCACACGAAAGTCCCAACTTAACAAATTATATACCGTTGGTCACCATTTCATTAAATTTATCCAAAAACCTAATTTTTAGATAAAATGCTCAACTTTACAAATAGTCCCTAATTCTTAGTAAATAAATATTATATTTATTTTTATTACAATAAAGGCTAACTACTAACCCGGTTTTCATATCATTACAAACACGAAGGTTTTATTTTAGTTTTTTTCCTATATTTTACTCATATACTCTGAGTTTGTCTTTCTCCCTTTCCCTTCAAAATCATCATAGCACTAATTATTTTTGTATTAATATTTATTAAATTAATACAGGGAAAAGAGTCGTTGTATTTTAATTTTTTTAAACTAATAGCTTTAGTTATAAAATCATATGGTTGATAATACAAAATTTGTTTTTTTAAATGCGGGAGAGAAGAACAATTTTTGTAATCAACGTGGTGGGGATCATTTTTTTGCTAATCTAAATTAATGTAGGGGAGGAGAATCATGTCTTTTGATCGTATGGTACAATCATAAGATTGGTAATTTAGATTCTATTAAACGAATGTGGGGTAGGGGGGAATCATAGGATAACTTATATTTTTTGTATTGATATTTTTTTGGATTAATACGAGAAGAAGAATTTTAAGTTTGTATAAATTCTATAAACCTAGATAATTTATATTTGACTTTTAAATGATATTCCCTATAAAAAGTCAAGTCTTTTTTATATGCAAGAACTCTCTCGATAGGAGTAAAAAGTTATAAAAATACCAATCAAAAATTACAAGTCTTTTAACACTAAAGTAGAAGTTTACACTACCATTTTTACAATGTCAGACTCACTACATTATTGTCACATTGTAAATGACACATTATCACCGCCACACTGTCATCTGTAGCCACCAACCACCTAAGTGACATTGCGCATCACCAACAGTTGATTGGTCACACTGACATATTACACTGTTGTCACTCTTCCGTCACACTGCCAACACGAACTTTTACACCACACTGCCATTAATTATACTCCTATTCTGGTCTTAAAATAATTAGGACTCTTATTTTGGTATTTTAATACTTTTTAAATTCTATTTAAAAATATTTCTTTTTTAATAATCCACATTGTATAATTCAAAAAAGTTTTGTCTCATCCCGTGCATGGACGGGTTAAAGTACTAGTAAATAAGAAATGTACGAGGCGATGGCGTATAATTGAAAAGAAGAAGATTTGGAACCTTAAATCGTGAAAACAATATAACGAAGAAATTGACCCAACCCAAACACATTTGGTTAGCGAGGTCGCAATAGCAATTGTGGAGTAATGAGCGTTGCTTCATCGCCGTATTTGTACAGCTCCAAGGGCGGATGTATTGTGTATGTCCCCTACTACTTTTCTTATATATCTAATTTTTTACTTTGATTTTTTAATATTTTTAGAGATATATTATTTATGACCCCAATTAAAAATATTGGAGACCCCAATTAAAAGTATTAGAAACTTCAATAGATAGTGTTAAGTGAGAAAAAAATGAGAAAAGTTAAATATTTAATTATTAAAAGAGTATAATCTTAAAGTCAAATTTTAAAAGATCACAAAAATAAAATTGAAAGTGAAACACTAAAAATATATAATAATTAAACTAAGTTATAATGCAATCCATATATAGAAATTTTATTCTTTAAACTTTTAAATTCACTATTTTTCAATGTTTTGCATTGTTTGAATTAAAAAAAAGTCTGGAGGTGCTGCCCCCAGACCCCTGTTTGATGCCCCCTACTGTCTAAGTTTCTGGATCCGCCACTGACAGCTCTCCGTCATGGTTGGGATTTGATGGCCCCGCTCTACACAGTGTCTTGAACAATGGAAGTAAATACTTCGATTCGCCGGTGGACACTTGAGATAACTGCTTAATAAATGACCAATCACCCAGGCCAGTAAATAACACGACCCATTTATGCCTGAGCGAAAAAAAAAATCATGCTGTTTTTGTAAAGAGTAAGAAAATATTTATTTTTGTATAAGTTAATATGTGATTTGAAAAGTTCTCTCTTATCTAAAAAAATTTCACCACACTCTTCACTTTAAGGAAAAAAATAAGTAATTTTTTTAAACAAATTCAAAAAAGAAAAGTAGGAACTTTAGTGACATTTTTTTAATTTTTTGGAGACTTTAATGAAATTATTGAAAGAAAGAAATTAGAGAGGGACATTTTTGTAATACCTGAGTGGCTTATTTAAACACTTTAAAGAGTACAATGACATTAGTGAGAAAAATAATAGGTAAATAGTTAATGACATCTCTTAATATACAAAGATGAAGGGGAAACATAAACAGTACCATTTCCCCGCCCATCTTATTGGTTTCTGGATGTGGATTTTAGATATGGGCTGGATGATTAGGATAGAGATCTTATAATACTGAGTATGGATCTGTGATGCTAATTGGATTAGATTATGGGCTGTTCGGTCCAAGTATGGTTGTAAAACGATCCATTTTATTAGAAAATATCACATCCTAATTAAAATTCATTGAGCCATGAGACCTATTAGTGCAACAATCTAGAAGGTACCTTTATGGAGCCGCACCCTACAAAGTAAAGTCCAATCAACATTTATTACAAATATTTAACAAGTCTAGGGCGTGCGTCCACTGTCATAGAGCCACAAACCAATCCAACTAATTAAATATTGGTTAACCAAATAAAAATTTAATGTATGTAATAGATGAAATACATTGGAAAATGTTGGTCTTGAGCCACGAAACATTTAATGCAAACCATTTTGGATATGACTGAAATATTTTAATTTAAAAGAAGAGAATGGTATTTCTATTTTGATTTAACTTTCTAGAAAAAAAATTTAAACAGTTCTGGGAAAGATACTTTTATTAAAACAAAAGCATTTAATTTTTATCAGTTCAATGTTAACTAGACCCTATAAATATTGATCAAAGCAATTAAAAGATGTAAACTACGAGTTGTCATGCATAGAGCCACGAACCAATACAACCGACTAAACATTGGTTAACGCAATAATGGTTTGCATTAAATGAATGTAATAGATGAAATACATTGGAAAACATGAGTCTTGAGCCACGAACCATTCAATGCAAACCATTTCGGATATGACATAATATTTTGATTTAAAAGAAGAGAATGATATTTATATTTGGCTTTAAGAACTAAAAAATGTTAGACAAAAGTGCAACTCTAGAGGGGGGATGAATAAAGTTATTTACTAGAATGTGCGTTTTTTGCGTGTGTGATAACGGAATAAAAATTGCAGAAATAATGTAAAGAGCAAGGTTAGAAGTACACTGTGATTTATACTGCTTCACCACCTCGTGGCTAGTCTAGTCCTCGACTCTCTCAAAGGTCCTACTAATCTTCAAGCTTCAACGGGTGCTTGAAAAACCGATACAACTCGAGAACTTGAGTCATACAAGTCTTAACACCAACTGAAACAAGATTGAGTTTTACAACACAAGAATGAAAGCTCACACAATTTGAGCAATTCCAAGTAGTGTTTGAAATATGAAAGTTCTATAGATGACAATATCTTTAGCACTTAGCAAAAATATTTCTAATTCTCAAAATAATGTATTTGATGAGGAAGATTGAAGCAAGAGTTGAATATTGAGTAATGAAGGAATGAAGTGCAAGAGATGTATGTTTGATGAAGGAGGATGAGGGATTTTATAGGGTTAAAAGAAATAAATTCGTTGGAGGTAGGGGTGAGGTGTTTTTGACAGAATTGACTGGTGGGGGATCAATCCAAGGGAGAGGATCGATCACCTGGAGTAAGAATTCGAGAATGAATTTCTATCAACAACACGGGGGATCGATCCAGGGAAAATGATCAATCCTCTCGAGTTAAAAATTCAGGAAAGGATTTTTGTCAAACTCACGGGGGATCGATCCAACAAGGAGGATCGATCAATCGAAGAAAATCACGAATTAAAAAGGATCGATCCAACACCATGGATCGATCAACTGATCGATGGCTATGCACACTGGTAAGAAAAATATACTTTAAATATTTTTCGTTAACATCATTTGACACACAACATATTTTTTGGACTAAAATTCTACACCACGAATTCATTTCTTAAATTCAAATTTTTGAATTTGAAATAAATTCAATCAACCCATATGGTTTGTTTGATTATGGGAGCATCTTCATCCTTGAATTCTTGTCCAAAACAAATCACTAAGTCCAATTTGACAGAATATTTAAAGTATACAAAAGTAAATTTTTGTATCTTTAAAAAAAATTTAAGAAATTTGGACACACTATTTTGAAACTGTCTCGGTAAATTATTTTTAAACAGAAAAAAATTGATTTTTCAGCTAACATAGAAAATAATAATTTGTCCCTCAAGAAATTAATTTGTTTATGTAAAAGCTTTTGTCATCCTTACAAATATTCCTAGACTCAATAAAAATTAAAAGGTATTTGAAGTCTTCACTTCACTTCAAAAATTTTGGCGTAGGGGTGAGCGTTGATTTTTTTTGTCGCCGTAAATTTCTTGATACGCCTCTTTGCTTTTCTCGATACGAGAAAATAAATTTTCGATCATCGTTGATTTTAATAATCCTGTTTGTCATTTATCAAAACCAAAAAAATATTCCAGAATATATAAAGGGGTTTGAACTCATGTCCAACAAAAAAACTTCTTGGAAGAAGACAAAATGATATTTTGATTAGGATAAAAGAATTTAATTTTTATCAATTCAATGTTACTTAGAGCCTTTAAATATTGAGGAATGGACCTGACGGGGGAAGGTGACTTTATAGAGACATGTGATATTAATTACTTTGCAAGGGATAGTGTGTGACGACGACTTGGCTCTGGTGAGTGTATTTATTACTGAGGAAGAGAAAGGGTGAGTGGGGAGGGTTACTTTATAAAGAAATGTGATATTAATTACTTTGCATGGGAGAGTGTGATGATTGCTTGGCTTCGGCGAGTGTTTATTAATGGGGAAGAAAAAGGGGTGATGCCGACCGAAAAATGAAAAAAAACTTTATGGAGCAATGTGATATTAATTATAGGTCTTGAAGCGGGCTACTTTTTGGAAAAGGCCATTTTATAGAAAAATGTGATTTCATAATTATTTTGTAAAGGAAATGTGTGAAGACAGCTTAGCATGTGTATTGTAAAAAGCCATGCGGCCCACTTTATTGAAAGTTATGATGCCATTATAACTTTTGAATGGGGGGTATTGGTGGCTTGCATGCGGGGCAGTATAATAATGACTTGGAGAGCTGGATATACATATATTTTGAGGCATGGGCATAATTACACAAGATTTTTAAATCTTCTGATTCATGTTCAAATATTTTAGATAGCACATCCAAACTATTTTGCACACTATAAATACATGTTTCCATAAAAATTACATTATCAGATCTACACTATTTCATTTTTCATTTTATTTTTTCGTTTATCAACGCTGGTGCATTATAAATAGAAATGTTCTAGCAACACATTTTGGTAAAGCAGCTTCTTTTTCTTTTTTTGTTCTTTGGTGTTTGTTGTTTCTTCAAATTTCAATTTTTCATTTGCTTCTTCTTCATTTTTATTCTTCATTTTTTTTTATTTTAATTTTTGTTAAAAATTTATTTCTATAACTTTTTTTAATTTTTAATTTTTTTAATTTTTAATTATTTTTCAAGATAACCTTTGACATAATAGAATGATTTTCTTAAAATTTGTATTAATTTAATTATATTTTATACAAATTCAAATAATTAGATGTTATGTTAATTTTATATTTAGTTTTATTTGAATTTAATTTATACATTAAGGCCTCGTTTGGTACATGGAATTCAAATTATGGAATTGGAATTGAGGACTTCAATTCCAATTCTGGTATTTGTTAGCTCAAAAATTATGTGGATTTGGAATTCATTGTGCAATAAATGAATTGAAATGGGTGAGTTCAATTCTATGGAAATGAATCCCATGTAATTTCAATTCTAATTTCATCAATTCCATTTCACCAATTCCGTATACCAAACGGACTCTAATTCTATTAAATTTGTATTCTTTATATTTTAGATAAATAATTAGTCGTGCTGGTACAAAATCTAATTTTTTTTATAGAGAAATGCTAAAGTCACAAATTCTTTGATCACAAAATACACAACCTTGCCATTTGTGTACCTCACCAAGTGAATTAAATAATGTTAAATAATTAAAAAGTAAGCATTTAAATACACAAATGGCAAGGTTATGTATTTTGTGATCGTGAATTAAATAATGTTAAATAATTAAAAAGTAAGCATTTAAATACACAAATAACAATGTTGTGTATTTTATGATTAAAGTGTTTGGGACTCTAGCACTTGTCTTTTTATAAAAGGTGGCATACTCATCATTTGAGTGCAATTTTAGGTAACAGTCCGAACACATCTGTCATTATTTGTGACCCCTAAATAAAATACAGTTCAACGGCTTCCCCACGCATATCACCTACACAACTATAGAGGCGGGTGACTGGCTAGTGGCGAGGACTCGAATAAATCAAATCTGCTGATCCGTAACCCAGCTTCTCATTTCTTCATCAAAGGTGCCAACTTTTCTGTATGATTCCATGTCTTCTTTAAACAATTGAAACAATGTGGTGTTTTTAATGCTTGATCTAAGATCTTTAGAGCCCGTAAGTAGAAAGTTTTTCCATTGCTTCGAACAATTCATGTTTACAGTTAGGGCTACTAGATGTACGAGATCAATTTAGATTCGTGAAGGACCGCAAAATTGATCTTTTTTGAGTTGATGTAATGTTATTTTGGAGATTTGTATTGCTTTCTTTGAAGTTAATGTAGTTTTGTTGGAATTAAATTACATCGTAATGATGTTGGGTTTCATTCATCATTTTACTTATTTCTTCTATCCAATGTCCCGACTCCCGCCCCCACAAAATTTCACCTCTTTCTCCTAAAGGTAATGGATGGAAATGGAGTGGGATGGAAAACGAGAGGACTTCAATTCGCTTTATATTGATGCATAACTATAGAACCGGTTGGTGATTATATGGTTTCAATTAGGGAGAGGGGTGGGGGGTTTAATATATAAATAAAGGGCCAGGTTCCGTTGACCGTCAATACACTCACCCATTTGGAGGCTCTGTTCGCAAAATTGATGATTCTTACCCTCGAATCTCCTTCAAAAATCCCCCCACACCCCTTCGCCCCCCACCATAGCCCCTCTTTGCCCCCCTCCAAATGTGTGGCTATTATGGGGGACAAAGGGGGCTAGGGTGGGGGCGCAAAGGTGGAGATGGGGTTAGAGTGTTGGAGTGTGGTGGGGTTTTAGGGAGGAGGTAGTACCATCAATTTTGCAAACGGAGCACTGGAGGTGCTCCAAATGGGCGAGTGTTATCCGTTGACACTAGATGCTAATGTCAAGGGAACCTTGCCGATAAATAAATCTAATTTATAGTTTTTCCGTCCGGATTTAGTTGTTCACTTTAATTGTCCAATAGAGAAATTCTAATGCAACCACAACAACCCAGTAAAATCTCAAGGGAGTAGGGCTGGGGAGCATTTGTGTACGCAAACCCCTACTTGAAAGTAGAAATATTGTTTGCAAGAGACCCCCAACTCGAGTAACAAAGAGAGAAAGGAAAAAGAAGCATAGAGCAAGCTATAAGTAAAGAAAGAAAAACTCAATGAAACAAGAAGCACCAAGCATAAAAAGCACAACGGTGTTATACTCGGGACCCGGGGTATAAACAAGTTGTTCTTTGAGGCGGAACAAAGGGATGACGTTATGCCCGAGCTAAGAAAAGGAGTTTGATTCAACCAAGCTTTTCGGTTTTCGGAGAAGCTTGATAACCGATTGCCACTTTGGATAATCGATTATTACTCAAGGAGAGAACTTCTTGTTTGACACGAAAGCTAGATAATCGATTATCAGTTTTGAATAATCGATTATCAGGGGGCAGCTTCTCGGAACAGAACTTTTGGATTTTCAGAGGAGATAAATAATCGATTATCAGATTTGATAATCGACTATCAAGGGCTGCAGGAAAGCGGATAATCGATTATTAGCTTGCAATAATCGATTATTGGCGGCAGTTTTTCCAAAATGAAGAATGGTGTTTTGGCGGGAATGAAAGGTAATGTTTATGTGAAGGAGGAGTTCTTTTGGTATTTGAATATGAGGAAAGAAAGGGGGTTGAGGAGAGAAATGGTGGGAGGGGAAATGGATAGAAAAGTGATGGATAAAAACCAAGTTGGTGTTAAGAGATATTACATACTCTTATCTTAACTTGGAGTTTGAATCAAGAATTTAATTAAGATATGACACACTTAATCAAATATCTAGGACCTAAAACTCACACTTAAGATAACCACTCTTAAGATATAGAATTAGGAATTTGGCTGAACCGCATCACACTATTTTAAGATACTCAAAGAGTCAAGGTTTTAATATTCAAAGATTGAGGTTTACAATGGCCATAGGGCCTGATTATATAGGCAGAGGGAAGGGGAAAAAACATACACTACACATTGAATGTAGACATAAGGAACCTTCCTAGCAACAATCATTTCCAAAGCATGGGGTAATGTTCATTCAATCCTATCTCCTTAGTGGAATAAAATCAGGGATGGGGCAGGGGTTGTGGGGTTTTGAGTTTTGGGTGTGTAGTGGTTGTTTCCTGGGTTTTCTGGTTATTATTTGGGTAAAAATGGGGGGTTGTTTTTGGTCAATAAAGGGGGACAGGACTTGGTAATATCATGGGTGGTTTTGGACTTATGGGTTTGGGTTATTTGTGAGTGAACATGGGCAAGAAGAAGTGGCTAGGGTTTTGGCTCTTTGTGGGTGTTGTGTTGGGGTTGTGAAGTATATTTTGGCCAGGGAATGAAAGGAAGGAAGGGAAGGTTTTATTTGTTTATTAAAAGGCTTAAAAGAAGGAAAATAACAACAAACAAAAGATTTTGGTTTACACACTCTTATTTTCGACCATGGGCTAAAAATAAGTGTAGGAAAACTTTATTTTGAAAGGAATTAAAGAACAGGGTGTTTTGGATGTTTGGGGAGGTATTGGAGAGGGGGAGGGGGTTTGGCCCTAGGTGCAGTGTAGGGTAACACGGGTGTTCATTTGGGTTTTAAAATTTGAAAAAGGAATGATTTCAACCCAAGTAAAGCCACAATGCTTTTGCTTCATTCCCCTGATTTGTATTTCCTTTTGTGAACTAAGGAAAGTCCCAGGGGACGCTCCCGGATATCTAACATCCTCGCCTTGTTCGAGAGAGTTTGCCTTCAAACTCGACTTTTCTTTGGGTTCATCTTCAGGGCGGGACTTAATCACGTTTGAATCTTCATCTTTGAACACTCTTTGCTTTGGCTCTCGGGAAAGGGAAATTTGGAAACGCCACTTTGCACACTCAAAATGAGTGTTCTTTCTCCCACGCGTACCTTCATGGAATCCCTGCAAATGATACATAAAAACATTGGCACTAAAGGCCATTAATAACTTGGTTCCATGTTTTCTCCTTTCATAGAAGGGTTTATGTTGGGGGTTTTCAACGAGGCACAAGGGTTGGTTTGGCTCCAACCATGGTTCCTGGGGTAACTCTTTGGGTCTTGAATATTTAGACTTGATAAAGATGGAAAGTATGGATGGAGATTGTGCCTGGGACAATTGGGTAGATGGTATTATCAGAACAAGAGTGAGTCTCCTTGTATCCATCACAAATGAATATGAGTTAGTGAAACCATCGTAGGTAACTCTCTGATCATATAACCATGGCCTCCCGAGGAGAATATGACAAGCTCGCATGGGTATCACATCACCATACGTCGTCATGAAAGGACTGACTCATGCTAAAGGAAACCAAGCTATGTGTGTTCACACGTATTCCTTCATTAAGATTCAACCATTGAATCTCACAAGGCTTCCGATGTGGCAATGTCCCTAAATTGAGCCTTTCTACTACTATTTTGGACACAACGTTGGCACTACTTCCGCTATCTATGATCATCGAACACACCTTCTTTTGAATGGTGCATCAAGTATGAAAAATGCTCTCTCGGTGTGTGATATTATCCTGGGTAGTCGTATGACTAATGGTCTTTTGAATGACCAAAAGTTCACTTTCGTCGGGGCCAACAACTTCTTCTTCTTTCGGCTCTTCCTGAACCCAAAATGGATTCACTTCTTCATCTTCATACTCAATAATAGCCATGATCTTCTTCTTTGGACAGTCACTAGCATAGTGACTAGTCGTGGAAACGAAAGCATTTTTGGACTCGGTTACTTGACGCACTAGGCTTTGAAAGAGGTGGAGTATTGGGTAAAGAAATGGGCTGCACGGTTTTGGTGTTTTGACTTGAGGGGGCCGTGGGAATTTGGGCATTAAGGGGGGTGAAATTTGGTTGGCTGTGATGTGGAGGAATGGAACGGTTCAAGGGGGACTTGCCCTTCTTGAGTTGAGCTTCACGTTTGAGGGCTAGTTTGGTAAGCTCTTCTAGGGATTCATAGCTTTGCAACTTTACTGTATTGGCTATTTGTAAGTTTAAGCCGAATAGGTATCGTACAAAGGTTTGCTCATCATCTTCTTGCAAATCACACCTTAACAAGAGTTCCTCAAACTCACGGTTGTATTCTTCAACGAATTTTGAACCTTGCTTAAGCGTTTGAAGCTTAGCAAAATTCTCACGAACATATTCAGCAGGCAGAAACTTCTTCTTCAAGGGAGACCTCATCTTGGCCCATGTAGCTACTGGTTCCTTATCATTTCTTCTTCTCTTGGTGCACGTGTTGGTCCACCAAGTGGACGCATACTTGCGGAACTTCAAGGCCACTATCCTGACCTTCTTCTCAACAGAAACTTCTTTGAAGTCAAAGACGTGTTCTACCGTAGCTAGCCATTCTAGAAACTCGTCCGGGTCGTTCTTTCCTTAGAAAGTTGGGATTTCAACTTTGAAGTCAGAACTTTCATTGGTTTGAGTCTTGGTTTTGATGGTGCCAATGTCATCCTCACGATTACTTCCTTGGAACATGTTGAGTTTCACCTTTGTAAGCTTGGCTACCTCTTTGGCCAAGTACTCTACTTGGGCCCTCAAGGCTGCGTTGGATGCAACGACCTCTTCATGGGACATAGGTTGGGATTCATTTGACATGGTTTAAGTGGAGAAAGGTTGGGAGAAGAGGGGTACTTTGGCCGTGTGGGTTTGGGAAGAGAGGGAGAGAGTTTTGAGCTCAAAAACACTTGCTTCTTTGGAGAGGCGTGTGAATGGTCCTTGGGGGATGTGCAACACAGAGCTTTGATACCAGATGTTATACCCGGGACCCGGGGTATAAACAAGTTGTTCTTTGAGGCGGAACAAAGGGATGACGTTATCCCCGAGCTAAGAAAAGGAGTTTGATTCAACCAAGCTTTTCGGTTCTCAGAGAAGCTTCATAATCGATTGTCACTTTGTATAATTGATTATTACTCAAGGAGTGAACTTCTCATTTGACAAGAAAGCTTGATAATCAATTATCAGTTTTGAATAATCGATTATCAGGGGGCAGCTTCTCGGAACAGAACTTTTGGATTTTCAGAGGAGCTAAATAATCGATTATCAAATTTGATAATTGACTATCAAGGGCTGCAGGAAAGCGGATAATCGATTATCAGCTTGCAATAATCGATTATTGGCGGCAGTTTTTCCAAAATGAAGAATGGTGTTTTGGACGGGAATGAAAGGTAATATTTATGGGAAGGAGAAGTTCTTTTTGGCTCTTTGTGGGTGTTGTGTTGGGGTTGTGAAGTATATTTTGGCCAGGGAATGAAAAGAAAGAAGGGAAGGTTTTATTTGTTTATTAAAAGGCTTAAAAGAAGGAAAATAACAACAAACAAAAGGTTTTGGTTTACACACTCTTATTTTCGACCATGGGCTAAAAATAAGTGTAGGAAAACTTTATTTTGAACGGAATTAAAGAACAAGGTGTTTTGGGTGTTTGGGGAGAGGTATTGGAGAGGGGGAGGGGGTTCAGCCCTAGGTGGGGTGTAGGGTAACACGGGTGTTCATTTGGGTTTTAAAATTTGAAAAAGGAATGATTTCAACCCAAGTAAAGCCACAATGCTTTGGCTTCATTCCCCTTATTTGTATTTCCTTTTGTGAACTAAGGAAAGTCCCAGGGGACGCTCCCGGACATCTAACAAACGAAAAGCACGGAAACCACTAGACCCAAACGCCTACCTTACTATCCTAGTCCTATCTCTCCTAACGCTCCTATGTAGAGTCATATCCTCGATAAAAGCCAAAAGTCTAAGGTCATGCCTAATCACCTCCCTCTTCATAGGTCGACCCCTCCCCACATTCTCGCCCACCACCGTAAGCATATCACATCTCTGCACCGAGGTTGCAGAGATGAGGTATGGACATTGTTGGCATGAGTGGCTGGAAAACTTGTTTAAAGGACTTGTTTGACATTTTAAACTCATTTGTTAAAAATGAGAGTTTACAGAAAGTGGACAACTAATTCCGGGCGAAAGGAGTAGTTAGGTTTTCCAGTAGCCGTGCGGCCTGAAGAACTCTGAATGTTATTTATCATCTTTTGCAATTGCCCAGTTTCTTTATATTTTGATTGTTTATTGATTATCTTAAGGTAGTGCATTGCAGTTTTGTGAGATTATGAGATATACATCTGATGAGGAAGACTCACATCTTGAAGTATTTTTACCACGCCTCATTTAATTTGTGAAAATGATGCAAAGTTGATGAGTAGATTAAATAACAGAGTACTTTGTAGTAAACTCAACTCTTTAATTTTTTTCTTTGCAATTCTCTTAGGGTCCGTTTGGTACACGGAATTGACGGGATTGGAATTGAATTGGGAGTTGAAATTCTATGGAATTGATTTGGATGGAATTGAATTCTCTAATTCCAATTCATTTTTGGCACTACCAGTTCCAAATCCGCATATTTTTGTGCTACCAAACAGCAGAATTGGAATTGTTGTCCCCAATTTCAATTCCATAGTTTGAATTCCGTGTACCAAACGGAGCCTTAATCAAAATGTCAAACCAGATTTTCTTTATCACTATTGTAGTGTTGTATCTACGGGAATAGCTATGTAATTTTTGCATCTGTTGTGAATATGCTTCTTTTGTTACTTAAGGCCAAGACAGAAAAGAAAAACAGAATGGCATCTGAGAGGGAAGACTTCAACATTTCAGGGCCCTTACATCTAAATGCCTGTAACTGGTTAGCAAGATTCTTTTAATCTGTTAATGCTTTTCATTTTTTTTATTGTTGCAAACTTGAGGTTTGTACTGGTTATGGCTTATGGCAATGACAATCCTAGTTTTGACATCCCATATTTATTTTGCTATATGGATATGATTGATGTGTAGTAACAACACTTAACCTTAATGAATGGTAGTATGTTCCAAAAACTCCCCACCTAGTCACATGATTTCCCTTGGCCACCGATGGGTTTTCCTTAGTTGACCACCTACGCCTAATCCCGACTGTTCTCTAGCTTGCACTGGGCAGGCATTGTTAAGGCTTATGGTTCTATCCTAACATGCAAACTTATAGGAAGAGAAGCTCAAGGCCTTATATGTGTTTTTTTATTTGTCGGAGCGCTAGGTCCAGTAAATAGTGCCTAGTGTATTTAAGAACATTGATTATAAGTGCTGAAATTTCTTACCAATGTAGGGATAATGTGGAGCATAGGAGGTCTGTTGCTGCCTCTTTGGTTCAAGGGGTTTACATTTTAGAGCGAGATCGACAGGAAAAGCGACAAGGAGATGGATCTCTGGCTCCTCCATGGTGGGAATTCTTCGAATTCAAGTTACGTCGTGAACTTGTTGATGTTGATGATTCGTCCATCTTTGGTGCCGTTTATGAATACACACCTCTTGGGTACAATGGCAACGATAAAGTTCCACACCATGTCATCGCTTTCCGTGGGACCATTACGAAAGGCGATGCGTTTTCAAGAGACCTCGAATTGGATATCCACATAATAAAAAACGAACTCCATTTCTCGTCTCGCTTTGAGACTGCCATTCAAGCGGTGCGCAACACGGTTGCAACTTTTGGAGGTTCAAATGTGTGGTTGACAGGTCATTCCCTGGGTTCTGCCATGGCAATGCTTGCTGGCAAGACCATGGCAAAGACAGGTGTGTTTCTTGAAGCCTTTCTGTTCAACCCGCCCTTCTTCTCAGCCCCAATTGAGAGAATCAAGGATAAGAAAGTCAAACACGGTATTCGGATCGCCACCAGTGTTGTCACGGCTGGGCTAGCATTTGCTGCATCTGTGAAGAAGACTAACACCCGCCAGAAGAATCCATCAATAGATTCATTTGCTGCAATCTCCAAATGGGTGCCCTGTCTGTTTGTGAATCCAGCCGATCACATTTGCTCGGAGTACATTGGCTATTTTGAACATAGAAAAAAGATGGAGGAGATAGGGATAGGGGCAATAGAGAAACTAGCAACACAGCACTCTCTCGGGGGTCTTTTTATGAACTTTTTGGGGAAAGAGTCCGATGAACCAATGCATCTTATTCCATCAGCAGCTTTAACGGTTAATCTCACTCCCTCCTCGCAGGGGGACTTCAAAGAAGCTCATGGAATTCACCAATGGTGGAGACTTGATCTGTCCTTGGATTCCCAAACCTACTTGTATAGTTAAAGATCTCTCTATGAAGGGAAAATGCTATGTACATCCAACTTACCCCACACCTGCACCACAGTCAAAATACTTTTGAATTACACACACAATATTGTCTATGAAACAGAAAAGAAAAAGAGTTGTCTGTGTATACTTCAAAGTTTTGGCTCTGGTGTAAGTAGGAGTGTAAGTGTGGTGTACAAATAGCATTTTCTCAATATTTATGCTTTGTGCCTTTGTTGGTCCGGGTACAGTCTTTTTGTGTGGAACTTCATTGGCATCCTCAATTGTAGTACTCCATAATATCAGTGGCTGAATAAGAAATGTCTTCTTGGTTACTTCTTCCATGTGCAATGTAGATTTGGTGGTAGGGTTGGAATAATTTGTATACCAATAAAATTGAGGGAAATGTCGTGGTATTCAGTTTCATACTCCCTTCGTCTCTAAATGTTTGTCTACTTTTAGTATTTTTCAATCAAAATTAATAAACTTTGACTAGAAATTAAATAAAAGAGATACTCCACGATCGATATTGATACAAAAATAATTTTATTAAATTTATTATATAAAATATTTTCAAAATGATATTATATCTAATTAATATATATTATATATTTTATTTAATTATAGGCTAAAGGTTAAAAATGGTTAACCGAAAAAAGTTAGAACTGAATAAATAGTCAAGGACAGAGGTAATAATTTTTATTATCTAAAATCCTAATTTATACTGCAAAGTCCTCCCTCCGTTCCAATTTAAATTGCCCATTTTGGTTGACGATGTTTGGTTGAAATTATTTTCAAATCACTTTATAAGAAAAGTGGTATAAAATTAAAATATAAAAATTACTTATTAAAAAACTAGATCAAAAGATCTACAAAATTAGTGGTGACATGACTATATTATTTTGTCAAATAACTAGCGAAAATAAAGAAAGAAAGTGTATGAAGTTTCATCCTGTGAATAGTTACATGCAATTTAATTTGGGTTGGGAGAGTAGTTAATAGTTTCACACTTGTTAGATATTCCATTATTCTTTGTTGTGGAATTAGTTGTTCACTCTCTAAAAATCTCATTCCTAAGAAATAAGTTTAAAATGTCAAAAAAAATCCTGATGTCACTCATTCATTTCAATCGCGCTCATGCCTCATTTTCTAGAATGTTTTAGACAATTCGTCTTAGACTCTTTTCTTTTCGATTGGAAAAATAGATTTCAATGTTGGAAAACTAGAAAAAATTGGAAAAATTTGAAAGGAGTTGAAAAAAACTAAAAGGAGTTGAAAGAATCTGAAAGGAGGTAGAAAAAACTGGAAATATTTGGAAGAAACGAGAAGAAATTAGAAATTTTTTGAAAGAGTTTAAAAAAATAAAAAAAATTAAAATAATGATCATATTTTATAAATTTTATATTTTATTAAAAAAATATATACTCTAATTTTTGAAATTTTAATCTCTTTTTATTTTTTTAATGCCATTATATTTGATCCCAAATAACATTTGTATTTTTTGTGACTCACACTTTTTATTTATTTTTTCAAATCAATATCAATTACTCCGGGGTATATAACTTGTCATTTTTTCTAGTTGTATGTCACTAATCTATGTAGCAAGAATAAGATGACAAATGAAAAAATACTTTTTATTCATATTAGTTGAATGAAAACTGGACTTAGATGATTTAACGATATCTCGATCACACAAAAATAATAATCTTACATCATATTTTATACATCAAAATAATTACACAAATGACACCAGACTAACAATGTAAATTTTGCATTAAAATTTACTGATTTAACATGATTTATATTTTTTTTATTTAATTATAAGAAATGATTTAGATTAGCCAAATACACTAACTTTTTTTATTTCAAAAACCAATCCCCCAAATAAAGTTGTAATCCAACTATATTTAGGTAAAAAGTGTATCACACCATATTATAGAATAACAGTAATTTGATTAAAACTTTATTGATTCTAATTTTGCTTCTCTAACATATAGAATAATGTTGATAGAAACATAATTAATGAAAACATACATAACATAACCATACTATAAAAGTTACACAGCATTTCTTCAATAAAACTCTACTAGATTGTAAAATATTATAAGCTACCCCAACCCTAAATTTCTTCATTGCTTGTTTATTTTTGTAAAAATTGTTCCATATAAGACTAATAGATGTCACATTTCCCTAGATAGGACTAGTTGAGTTTTTTTCTTTATATAGGAGTTATTTTATATCAAGCTTCCAAATTTGCCCTCTTCTTAATTATTTTCCATCTTCCATTTTACATGCTATTTTTGAATTAATATCTCCTTTACATATTTAGAAATTAATGCTCATTAAATGTTCTTATTATTCAGGGAATGGTGTCATTATCCTTGGCCATTTTATATACGGAGTATCTTGTTTTTTTATACATATTAAGCAATAACACTTTTAAACATACTTTAAAATGTCGTTAATGATATACATATAATAATATTGATTATATAAATAGAATTTTATAACTTCCCTCTATTTTTTACTGAAATAGTAACATTAATATTTAGTATATGTGTTGAAAATTTAAAAATTTATTTGATAACTGTTTATTTTACAAATTTTAGAATATGTATATTAATTTTAAAAAAAAATCTATAAAAATTCTATAATAGTTCTTATGAAACTTTATATCTTTAGTATAAACTCCATTAGTGAAATTTGCAGTGAATAGGACTAAAACATAAGTCATTTCCCAATATAGGACTTAAACTTTTTTATTCCCTAAATAGGACTTAATAATGTCTAGTGAAAAGAATAATGTCCAAATGATGCTGGACATTTAGTTGAATAATGACTAATAGATAATGATCAATGGTCCTACATTGAGAAATAAAAATATATGATCCTATATTGAGAAAGTCATTATGTTTTAGTCCTATTTAGGTAAATAACCCACTTTATTAACTTCTAACTATTTAGGACTATTTAGAAAGTCATTATGTTTTAGTCCTAAATAGAGTGTCCTTCATGTTTAATTTATAGATTAATGTCCTCCTGCCTTAATTGTTATATGGTCCTTGTATGTTATATTCATTTGCATACTACCATAATGCATCACCACTATAATGTCCTTGTCATCAATGTTAATGTCCATATGTGCGGGTATGATCACCGCCACAAATGTCTCATTGATGTGCGTCAACATAGAAACAACATATATACTATATACATTTTTTGTTGAGCTTGTACAATACCATTACAATGATACAATATAAAATCATACCTTCCAAACTCCGTTGATTGGAAATGGCCAAAACACAATTAGTCACATTTAGTCATTATAGTCATACAAGAACTCCAATACTTCCAATGTTGTTGCAAACACATCTAATGAACCCTGAGTTCATAAAAGACTATACCTACTGAACTCAAACATGTCTCAATCAAGAATGAAAAAGAATCAAATTGCCTAGTAGTGAACGTAATGCAAAACAAAGCCACAAGATTCCAAACATAAAGCTGAGAGTACTAGAGAGATCAAAAACACCCATTATTTTGCTCTAAATGCCAAATGAGATAACCAAACCAGATTTATGTTCAACCTATGTTGAGCTGTACTACCCAACAACGAAAATTTTACAAAATATTTAAAAAAATTCAGAGTAGTGTGTAATCCAAATTGACCTGCCCAACATTCCAAGTAAAAAATCTCAGAAATTAAGCTCCCACTTGCTCTTGTTGAATATCTTCTTTAGCCTCACAATAACATTAACCTGTTAATAAATCAATGCATTACTGTCACTGAAAAGAAAACTATATCCTTTAAGGAGAAAAAATCTAAACAATACAGAATCTCTTGAATGCTAAAATGAGAACAAAGCTTGAACTTGCTAGGATCGTAGTGCAAAGTATCAAATAAAAGGAGGAAGCCTCAGTCTGAAATAGCTGTCCCCTTTGTTTTAGCACTTTTACTCTAGTAATTGTTGATTCATAAAGCCCTTCTAGTAAGCACCTTTTAAATTTGACAATCAAATTTAAAGTGCAGTATGATCTTTTTAATAAACATTGTGTAATTTTTTTTCAAATGCCCTTCACATAATGACCTTTTAAAGCTTCCAGTCACCTTTAAATAGCTATATGGTGTTTCTAACAAACATTGGTACATAATAAACTTTCTCTGCCAGGCCACCAATATCCAAACACCTCATACAAATTATTGTAATGGTTGAAATACCCTTCTTTTTTTCACTTTTTCAACAGTACTTGGTCATTTATAATGCTCTTCTACTAAGAATCTTCTAAATTTGAAAATGAAATTAAAAAAAGTATATCGCCTTTTAAACAAACATTGTCATAGAATGAAATGTCCATTGCCATCTTACATAATGTCCTAATTGTTCTAATGCCCTTTAAAAATGGCTCATTTTCAAATGCACATCTATTTTTCACTTTTGCTACCTCCAACTTATTTTATGCTTGCACAACTTGTTTTTGGAATGCTCCCAACAAGCCATTTTACTATTAATGACATTATATCGGTAGTTTCTAACAAATTCGGTACTGAATGTCCTCACCAAATCTAAATTACTGAAGTCTTTTTGGTCATATAGCACACCAACGTAATCTCAAACAAACGTTTTCATACATTGTAACATTTCAGTCCAATATTTACTAGCTTTCAAAATTAAACACTTAAAAAATTCACACATTGTAACATTTCAGTACAATATGTACTATGTTTATTTTCCAAGCAGGTGCATTTTGGATATTCTTAGTCTATAATATGGTTTATTGTTTCCTTTACAAGTTTTACACAATCATAATGCCCTAATAGTTTTCGCATTTAGACAATGTAGTAAATAATGCCAATTATGTTACTTCTAATCACACTCTTAATCCCGCCTTTAATGTCCTCTTACACTATCTTCACAATCATAGTCTTTAAACCACACTCACATTCTACACTAAGTTCATGTGTGTATAAAAAGAGGTCATTATATCACAAGCATCCATGCTCTCATTGCAAACTAAGGTCATTAAACCACATTATTATTTCTTAACCACACTTATATTTCACACCTAAGGTCACTTTCTTTTAGGCATATTCAATTGTATCTATAAAGTGAGAGCATTTCTATAATATCTAATACTCTGTATCCTTTACAGAGATGGCAAACCAATTCGAGTAAATTCAGACTCAACCCTTTAATTCATTCTAAACATTATTTTGTTTTAGTGAAACAAGTGAGTGAAGTGACGTTGGGTTGTTGAAAGAACATACTTCGCTGTAAGATGAGGAGGTTTCATAATGAAGGAAGATTCCACATTAACTTCATAGGTATTTAATTAAAAAAAGGGCAAAATTGTAATGTTAATGACATGATTACACTCTCAAATGGTAACAAGGCATATAATTCCCTGAATATCATCATCCATCTATGTAATATGCAATGTTCAAGTGTAAATAATAAACTGAAATACTCTTATACACATGGAATTGAATACTAACTTCACAGACATTTTCACAAACACCTACCATGCATGTTCAGCCTCTTCAAGAAATAAAGGCATATATTCAGATTTCCTCTACGAATTACACTAAGAACTATCCTATATTAAAAGAACATGAACTTACTCACCCTGAAGTGAGCTTCACTATCAAATTCATCTGCACAATTGGAAGTTTGTCAATGAAGACATTGTCAACGTCTAGCTCGGACCTGGACGCAATTGATTTGGTTGCACCTGAAATTGTATTTACACAACAGCTTTAGCATGGAAAAACGAGGTCTGCTAATGACCTTGAAATCTGCCTACGAAGGAGTCTGGTTATTCATGGTAACTATGGCGAGATTCCTTCCTTTTCATTTGCGATTCTCCGAATAAGGCGTGGTTTCACAATTTGTATTAATTGGTGCAAAAGGCTATTTTAGTCATTTTGACTAAAGAACGAGGGATCAAATAGGACCAGTGTTATATAGGGAAAAGCTTCATATTTAAGTCCTATTTGTGTAATTTTCATACATTTTTTTCTTGTATTAACTTGATGTATGAACATTTATTTTTTTCATATGCTTAGAACATGTACACTATAAAGATTATTAATGTATGCACATTTAAAAGTGATGTAATGATTATTTAAAAAAATAAAGTACACAATTATTTTGGTCAAAATTTTAAAACGTTGACAAACACACATAAAAAAACATAGTTAACAAAAATTCAAAATCACAAAGAAATTGTAAATTAATTAAATTAAGATTTTAGTAATTTAAAGTGACTCGATAATGAGATATAAGTGTATATCCAAGACAATTTTTTTAAATAGATTGTGACATTAAAATATTTTTTTATTTAGATAATAATAATATATGAAAATAAACATAAACAATTTTTTTAAGGTCATTGTTGGAAGAAGTTGAAAAACCTAAAAAGAGTTAGGAGAAACTGGAAGGAGTTGGAATAACAGAAGGGAATTAAAAGAAACTAGTTGATGGGGAATAACCCCACGCCAGCACTAGGGCTGACATCGGGCTTGGACGTTCCTGCCCGGCCCAGAGCTCCACTCGTCCTGCTGCTCGGCTCTGCGCTCCGCTCGTCCCTCCTGCTTGGCTCAGAGCTCCACTCGTCCTGCTGCCCGGCTCTGCGCTCCGCTCGTCCCTCCTGCTCGGCTCGGCCAGCCAAGCCGAGCCCGAACCCTGCGACAACGACGTGCGGAAAGCGACGTTCAACAAAGACTTGGTGAAAGCGATAGGATGAAAGGGACAAGACCTAAGGACAGGTGACGTCCGCTAAACGACGAGCCTCGATCAGAGGGCTTTGACTTAGTGAATTGTACCGCCTATAAAAGGGGTGGCACCCCTCATTGTAATGGATCCCCAGTTTGAAATCAATATACTCCTACTTTGCATTCTCTCTCTCTCTAAAACTTCTATTATTTCATACTCTCGGTGGTTTATAGCCATCAAATTGGTGCTTTCATTGAGAGCAGAGGAACATACTCGTAGGTTAACTCCCGAACGCGAGAATGGTGCAAACAAGGAGCAACGTCCCCACCACCAGCCACGTCGTTGGCGAGGAGAACGCGTCGGGCAGCGGCAATGGTACGGGCGGCATCGGTTCGACTCTAGACGCGGTCCAGGCGCTGTTCGGCTTGGGGGTGACCGCGGAGCAGCTCCAGGCAGCCGTTGCGGCACTTTCCGCCATGGGTGGGAACGTGCCCGGCGCCGGAGTTGGCAAAGCTCCGCCCAATCTCCATGCCGAACACGCTGCCACTTCCCAACACAAGGGGAAGAAAACCCGGAGGAGTATAAGGAGGCCCGGCAAGGCCCCGGCAATTGAGGAGGTGATTGTGGAGGACGTCCCGGATGAGGAGGACGATGAGTCCAGCGAGTGCCGAGTGTCAGCCTTCAGGCGCTTAGGAGGGGAAGAGACCCGGGTGTCGGCCTTCGACAGGCTCGACCGCGGACCGGAAGTTCGCCCGGGCGACCTCCGCCGACAAATAGCCGAAGGCAGGCGGAGGCATGCTGAGGAGTCCGCAACACCGGATGCTCGCTCGGCGAGGTCCGAGCGGAGCGGAGAGAGGCGGGAGGAGCGCACCCAGCGTCGCCATAGCCCGACGAGAACTGAGAAGACAAAGGTCTCTGACCAAGGAGTGTCTCGGCTCGCACGTGAGGTTGCCGGGCTTAAGCGCCGAGTGGAGACCAGGGCTCCCTACAGCCAGCCCATCTTGCGGACGATAACCCCGTTCACTCCGAGGGTTATGTCGGTCCCGCTGCCGGCAAACTTCCGGCCGTGGCAGATCAAGGCCTACAACGGAACGACGGACCCCCAAGATCATTTGTCTAAGTTCTATGCTTCTATGGAAGCGGCGGCTGCCCCGGACGAGGTCAAGTGTCGATGCTTTCTCGCGACGCTGGAGGGCTCCGCGTGCGATTGGTTCAACCGGCTCCCGAAGGGAACTATTGACGATTGGGATACACTGGCGGAGAGGTTCTTGACGCATTTCGCGGCAAACCGAAGGCAGAGGCTCCCTTACTCCCACCTGCTCAACATATGCATCCGCAAGGGAGAGAAGGTCCGCGACTTCATAGTCCGGTGGGAAAAGGAAGCCAGAGACGTGCATGGGGCGGATGACCAAGCGTTGGTGGCCATGTTCCAAGCAGCCCTTCCCCGCGGAGAAGTGAGGAAGGAGCTCCGCAAGAATCCTCCCCCCACGTACCAAGAGACCTTGGCGCGCGCTAAGTTCCTAGCCTCGGAGGAGTTCGATGATGTTCCCGACTCTGAGGCCGCGCCCGCCAAGCGAGCTCC